GTTTCTAGAATGCTGAGCAAGATGGCAGGTTGTGGTTGTACTTTTTCTGGTTTTCTTTGTGCCTTTTGAGTTCAGAAAATCAAAAAGGTTTATGATACTTCTTCTGGAAGGTATTTATTAAAGTAACATTACATACAAACAATGTTACTTAACATACTGCCTATGTTAGGTAGGATGAATGATGATGGTTGCTTACTTCATTCTCTGAGACTTGAGCAAATTAATTCCCAAACAGAAATTCAGGTTTTATAAGGACACTATTAACATAAATAAAAGAGGAAGGGATCTTAAAGTAAGTACTAGGTTTTTCATAGAAGCCACAGAAGGATATGTTGTTCCTCTGCTTATTTTGAGCTGCTTGTAGTCTAATTACAGAAAACAGGACAGACAAGGCCAAGAATTGTTGAGTGTACCCTGCGAGACAGGTGTACTGGCTTTATAGCCTTTCTGTGTTCTTGAGGTTGCACTATTTTCTAAATGTTATTTTGCATAATGCTCAATTCTGTTTGGTGGGTGAAGCTAATAAGAATAATGGAGAAATTGGCATAGAAAGGTAAAAAGAAGAGGATGTTTACATGAGGGAGAGGACTGAGGATAACACTTAGAGCTTTCTGCAAGGGCTCCGGTCCTAGTATTTAACATAATATCAGAAATGAGTTGCCTGTCTTTACTGACTAAAATTTTTAAAATTTCGAACAGCAGGTCTTTGACCCTATCAGGGCAACACTTTTGCTTCCATCTGTTCTGAACAGTTGAACAGGATCATCTGGGTGGTCACTTGCCTGGGGGATCTCCAAAGAGGGCCATGGAAGAAGAACTCAGCTCTAGAGAAGTACTAAACGGTCCTTGTTTTTACTATGGTTCAAATCCTTTGTAAATGCTCAGAGGCTGTCGCATTTGCTAGGAGGGTGGTGTGTTGGAAGAGAAGCCAGTGTTTGTTAATTTCATGTAACAGTTTGTGAGAATTGTTGATATTCAGGCTTTTGGAAACCCTGGGTCTTGAGTTACACATTAAGCCCCCAAACTCCCTTGCACTTATGAAGAGAATAGATGTGCTAATTTCAGTGGCTTGGCTGAATTCCAGTGAGCAATTGCATTCAGTTTATCTAAATTCCTCTCTCTAGTTTGAATTGGTTGAGATTGTTTCAATCTTCTGTTTTATGCTATTGTTTATTTTGGTGAATGATGTTGAATAGGCTGCTGTTTTTTCATTTTGACATTGTTGTATTTTGTTAGTATCTCACATTATTCAGAAGTGTGCATATGATTTTCAAATTACTTTGACAGCTAAAAAAAGAAGTAAATTGTCATATCATGGTATCTTTATCATTTTATGGAGAAGTGGTTATAAAATATGATTATTGTTTGAAATGTACTTAAATAGGATATTTATGTATAGTCATTCTGAGTTTTTGAAGAGTAATGTAAGGGATAGACAATCTGATTTTGTTTACATTAACTGTGGAGGAGGATTTCTGTAACTTTGAATTAAGCTTGTTCAGCTGGATTTGAGACATGCAGGTGACAGATGAAGAATTAATCCATTTAAGGTAGTGCAGAAGCTTTGATGAGACTTTTGCAATACCCTACCTGAAACTGTTAACTCCACAGAAGGCAAGGCAAGTTGTAGACCTGTTGGCTGAAAATGAGAGAAGTCATCCTCCTACCCAATTACGTTTGAGAACAGTAAATATTTCATACATCTAGGCAACTTTTTGTCAAGAGGATTTTCTTCCCATGTCTGAAATATGTATTCACTATATTCATTTGTTTTGGTTTCTATATTGACTTTGTCTTACCAGTCAGTTTATGCTTGTAAATTGGTAGAGCTCCTCATTCATTATGTGTTTTATTCATTCAGTGGGTGTACCTAGTTTCTGATGGACGGTCAGTCATTTGGTAAGTTTATCCGATTTGTGATAGACAAAGGACACTCTGACTGTATTTCAGGTGACTAACTGTCATGATTTAAACCCAGCTGGCAGCCAAATCCCACACAGCCACTCGCTCACCCTCCCCCACCTGGGGGTTGGGGAGGAGAATTGGAGGGGTGAAGGGAGACTCATAGGTTGAGATAAAAACAGTTTGATAATTGAAATAAAATAAAACATTAATAATAATAGAAAGTACAAATGGGTAATGCACAATGCTTACCACCCCCTGACTGATACCCAGCCCATTCCCAGATAGTGATCCCAAAATACCAAAATCACTTATTTAGATACTGAGCTTCCCTGGAGTAAAGAGTAGGGTAAACATGCATGTTTTTTGAAAGAAGCAGAAGAGACAGACTGTAGCAGGGACTTGTCCTGGTCAGGTATTCTTCATCTGATCTCCACCACTGTGCTGTCTGTCTTGTGGTATTTTCATGTCATCCCAGTGAATATGTAATTTTTCAGAAGAATGAATGGGGACCACTTGTTTCTATTCTTTCTCAGTCTTCCCAGGAAAGAAGAAATTTGGTTGCTGCTGTTGTTGCTGTTAGAAATAGGAGGTTGCCCTTTCATATGTTGTCAGCTGTTTGAGAGCTGCACTTAACAGACGTTTTGACTCCGTAGTGTAAGGTGGAGCGTAGGCACCTTTTCTTCCAGAGAACTTGTCATGTAGTCATGAATAATTTTACTTTCTCTGGAATACTGGTGATCTGAAAAGTTTTTCAGCATGAGACCCAAGAAATGAAGTATAGAAACCAACAGACATAACTATTTCCGGCTCCTAAAAAAAAAAAGTCTTAAGGAAGTGTTGTCCGTGTATGAGGAGAGGGAAGCCAGTGTACCTGCAGGTAGCCCATGAGGTGGTTTCAACCCCTGTAGAGCAACTCTGTGAAGATGTGGCTGTCAGCTGTTGAGAAAAAATGTGGATATGTGCTTGCTCTGCTCCTCAGGATACATGTTGGAGTAACAATGGACTGAGTTTACCCTGGTTTATAATACCTATCTATAAATTTCTTTCTAGTAAGTAATATTCATTGAGTGTATGTCATACATTGTGCCAATTCATTTGCAGAAATATGTGGAATAACTGCAGAAAATGAAAATGATTTTTAGGTGGAGATGACTATTGAATTTGCAGGGAATAACTCTGTATATCATCACCTGTAACCATTACTTTCAAATATCTGAGAATAGTAAGTATGTTCACTAAATATACATTTATATGTGCTTTGAAGCCACTTTTACATTTTCAGTTTAATTAACAGTTGATAATTGTATAATCTGATTAAAAATACAATGCATTCCAGGTAATTATTACAGTAAGCAGCCTTAAAATAGCAAAAACATCAGTCTTCATTCAAGGGGACAAAATGGATTTTTAAAGTTGTGATTTTAAAATTATTTAATTAAAACGACACCTATTGTATTACAGCTGTGGAAAGAATACAAATGTATTTTTATATAATGCAAGAATCATAATGTTAGTATGCTGTGTTCTTACCTAACATACAATCATCTTCTCAATTTCTCAACCCAAGTGTGTATTCTTTGTCTTGTTGAATGTGATATGTCCAGACAACCTAAACAATCCTTGCTGGAAACTTTTAAAACATTATGAAATATGCATGTTTTGGTCCTCAAAGCAATAACAAGACTAGCATTTAAAAAAAATAAGTTTCCTTTCATAAACAAGTTAGGACCCTCTGTCACAAAGGTACATTCTTCTGTCTTTTCCTGTATTTGAGTATATCGAGTCTTTGTAGTTAATTTATTTGTCCTTTCAAGAATGGCTTTCCTCTTCTTTTGTCGCCTTTTTTTAATTCATTTATTTTTAATTCCTGTTACACTGGGATCAGGTAAAGCATTGGAATGTGATCTTATTCATTCCTGTTTCTTCAGCAGCTTTGAGCTTCCCTTTTATATATGAGATACCTTGAACTTTTAAGAATGGGTAAAAGAGATGAAGGAAAATGAAGCATTACAAATAAAAGGAAAAATGGGAAAAATGAAGAGAGAAAATACTGAATTCGATAAGGCATGCTGAAAAACCTCTGGCAAGCAAGATGGGAGAAATATTCTGATGGCTGTGGGGAATAGTCACTCATGTTTTTGAGAAGAAGGAAAAATAAATTACAATTGTTGGGATGAGATTAAAAAAAAAAAAATTCCTTGCTCTTTTGTAATAGTTCCTTAGGTTTTATTATACTGTACTACAATTTTTTGGAAAAAGAATTGGTAATTTTTGGTTAAGAATAGTAACAATGTTGCTAAAACATTGACTTGTTTGGCAAGTTATATTTTAAACGTATATATATAGATGGAAATTTTGGGAATAAAGGAATAATATCTGAATTTTCACATGTAAATGTAAAATTCTGTGATGTTTCAACGGCTGTTTATAAACTCAGTGCAACCTTTTGGAGCAGACAGAACAGGCAGTGTAGTGGTTGAATTAAATTTATTTTTCTTAAAAACCTTTAACTTGTGAGATAGCATAGAGTGGTTATCACTTGAGGCAGAACCAATAAATAATTTTCAAACATGATTTAGGTAAGCATATAGTTCTAATCAATGACCTTGGACATTATACGAATAAATGTAGTTTCTAAAAGCCTTTCATTCAGAACTTGACAAATAATATTTAACCAAAGTAAATAGTGTCAGAGAATATAGAGTCATTGTACATTGTATGGGATCATGTGTGTTTTGAGTGTGCAATCAAACAAGCATAAGTGAATAATTTTATTTTTGTTGGAGGATATCTATGTCAATTGAAATTGGTTGCTAAAATTTTGCTTGGTCTTTCTCTAACAAAAAGTTATATTTTCTTTATGTGCTTGTACAGTAACAAATATGCAGTTCTTGTCTCGAATGGCAACTCAGAGATATTAGTGTATTTTACTTAACAGTAGCATAAGGTCATTGGCTACTGGGAGACTAAACAGCAAAAAGGAAAGAAGACAACTGACCACAGAGCGGAAGAGGCTGTGTTTTGCTCAGTGTAGGGAAGAAATATCTTGTTTGCTATACTGAACTGTTTATTTTAGTAGAGTTTCTATTTTTCAGGTGCAGTTAAAAACCAACATTTCAAGTCAATATGTAATTCGTACACAGCCAACAAACACCTGTTTGTCTACACTTGAATGTGCAGCTGTTGCTCTTACTATCATAGAAAAAAATGAGAGTATACAAGAGGTACGTAATTTTAAACACCTTAATTTTTCTTTTATGAATAGACAGCGAAGGTACTTGCCTATTAGTGTCACATTTGGCAGTCAAAATCTTAAAAACATTGTAATGGTTTTGTTGCATAGCAGTCTAAAACAAGAATGTATTAAGAAAATCTATTTTTCTTCAGATATTTATTAACCCTCGTTTATTCAGATTACTGTGACTCTTTCTGTCATGTTCCAAAAGTGTCTAGAGTTTTTCTGTTCTTTATTCAACATTGCTGTCAGGTTGCTGAGTGAAATTTTTAGATACAAAGGTCTTGAATGATTCTTCCTCTATTTATCTTTTCAGTATGTTAAATTCTGGTTAGGTATTTTTTTATTCTCTACCGTAATGGAATGAAATTAACTTTTTTTTTGCCACAAAGAGTTCTCTGAAGATAAACCTGGGAAAGATTCAGGGCTAAAAATCTTGCTTTGATGATGTTTAGAATACCAGTTAGGGTCAGCTCATGTCTGGTGAGAGATTGTATTTGGTGCTGCAGTGTCCATCAAGGCTGAATGTAGATTACTTATTTTACAGACTAGTTTTACCATGGTACCCCATTTGTGTACGGAGTAATAGATCGGTTATTGGAAACAACTGCTACCTTCCCAACCCATCTCTTCCAACTCCTTTTTTTTCTTTGGGTTTGCGTTTGGTTTTTTTTTCGTCCTTTTCTTGAGTTGCCCAGTGTTTTCCCCAGACAATTCCACTTCTACAAATTTTTCCTGTGCAGTTTTCAGCTTCATTTGTTTCAGGATTTGAGACTTTTCCTGTACTTGTTAATCAATCTCCCTTGTCTTCTTCCCTCTTTTTTCCATTTGTCTCTTCTGTTCACTGTTTCTCTCATGTACCTTTTAAGCATTTTTATCTCAGAACTCCTAGTGTCTTCCAGTTCCTTCTTCCCTTCTACCTCGTTCTTCTTTTCGATCACATTCTCTCATCCTGTACTACTTTCTTGCACACTTCCTCCTGTAATTCTAAATATAAGAGTGACTCAGTTTCTCTTCACTTTTACATTACTTTTTTTAAAAAGTTGGTTTATAAGACACCTAATACATATCGTGCTTGCCTCAATATAGAATAAAAATCTGTAGAGATGACAATTGGGGATTCAGCCCCAAACAAATGGAAGTACTGCTATGTACATTGCAGGGCAAATAGTGCAGAGATGCGCTATTCTAGTTATCGCTTCCTGTGCTGTTTTCCAAAGTTCTTTTGACATCTCTTACTGCAAAACTTCAAAACATAGACTGTGTACCAAGTACATGTAATATACTAAATTGTACAAATGTAACATGCTAGATTGACTTATTTTTTGAAAAGAATTTTCTTTTGGGTCTTTCTTAACTATAGTGTGTTGAAAACTACTTTGTTTTATGTACTGTGTTAAATAACTGTAATTAATAGTTAACTGTTAACAACTGTCCAGTTGCTTTAATGTATGGAATTTACATGTTGTACTCTTATGTTACCACAGTTATACGCAGTCTAAAGTATGGTTAGTATTTTGGAGCAAAGGAAGATATTATTAAACTTGGAGGAGATTATAGACTGTAATCACTCTGATGTCTAATTTTCATCAGGTCAGAAAAGCATGATGATTGTTTAGTTGATTAGTGATTCGTTGGTACCGAATAATGTGGCACGTGGAAGTAAATTTTTATGCTGGCTCTCAAAGACTTGGTGCCATTGACTTTCTTGTGCTTTTTCCTAATGGTGGATAAAACCTGAAGCTACTTAAATTGAGGAGAGTTTAATAATTTTAAATTGTTCATCCTATAATAGATGTTAGGAGGCAGTGTATATGTGTACACACCTTAAAATGTTTATTTACTTCAGCTGAGAAAGAAATTGTAAGAAACTTTAAGATATTATCACCAGTCTCTTCATATTCAAATAACGGGGAATATTATTACTTTGGGTACTATCAGCAGAGGCTCTTGGAAATTTGTAAAATACCTTTGGATACAATTTGTTAAAAACGAAAAGTATTTCCAAGATGTGAGAAACTTAAGAAATTTTGGAGATTGGTATCAGTAAAGTTTTTCTCTCTCTTACACAGAATATTAAAGTATTTAACTACCATTAAATTTATGGTTAACTTCTTCAGTTAAGATCTGAATTTAAAATTACTGGGCTTGCAAATGTCATTGAGAGTAACTGGTGCTAGACTCTAAAAAGTTTAATTTAATTAGCAAACAAGTAGGATTAATTTTCTTTTCAGCATGTGTTGGTCTTGGAATATTTACTGGAACCAAATAACCATTATCTTTTTTAATATATCGGTAATTTAAAATGATCCTCTGAAGTCAAAGCACAGAGAGGTGATCTTTGACTCCCAAAAACCCAAAAGCTGATCCAGTTTGAGACAGGCATTTGAGTGTATTACTGCAAGGAAAGTAGCAAGTTGTTTTCTGCAAAAACTAGACAGAGGAGGTGATCTGAGTATCCCCTCACAGCTAGCTTGAAGTTAAAATGCCTTTGTAAGCCTGTCCCACTGACCTGCTGCACTCCTGCAGCCGTTGTGTCTTCCTACCAGCAGCTCCCAACTCTTACGTGTCATTGAAGGAATTTGGGACTTAACAGTTCTTGAGTTTAAGTTTATCCCAGGTCAAAGAATACTAATTGAACATTAGCCTTTTCCTTGCAAGTTGTGATCCTACTAGTCTGTGATGGAAGAGGTTATTAAGATAATGTCCCTCTTAATCTTTTGTTGCTGACATCAGTAATATCAATTTAATAAGCCTTTTGAAAAAGACCTCTAGGTAGTTTCGCACCATAGATCCAGGTCTGCAGACCGACTGTGTGCCCAGAATGTAGTACAGAAAGATCTGTGAAAAGGCATTTGAAGCTCATCCATGTATTCACTACATTCTAGTGTCCACCCTAGGGTGCTCATATCCCTCTCTATCAGATAATATTTTGGTACATGACCCCCACCTACTAAAAAAGGTTCCCAGGTCAAAAATTGTTTCTGCAGTTGGCATAGTGTAGAGTATGCCACCACTGTGTCTGTCTTTGTGACACTAGAGAGTCACCTCAACATTAAATCAATTGCATTTAGAACCAGAATGGGACAAAGTATGTGGCCACACATGAAAATATGGCTCAGAAATTGGAATTCTGCGTAAAGAAACTTTTCTAGAGGCTTGTGTATCTTTTATGACTGTGCAGATACCATATGTTTTTATGCTAAAAGAAGATAATTATTTGTTGTAGAAGTTAAGCCTATGAAAAGTTAGAAATACTAAAATTAAAGTGGGTTTTGTATACTTACTTTTTCTTTTGGTGTGCTATTTTTCCTTCATTAGGACTTCTGACTTACTCAGGTCCAGGGTGAATGTTTCATTAACGTCTACAATTCCCAGTCCTGTATTCTGCTTCATCCCTACCACTCAGAATTGGCCGAGCCTACTTTTTGAAGATAAAATTACCAGTTTCTCAAAGGTTCTTCTATAAATGTTGCAATAGCCGAGAGCTTCATAAACATTCGTTCACTTTTTTATACCCTCTGAATTAAGTGAGTCTATTCCCAGCATATAAGATGGTGATTCAAGTTGAGAGCCATGGGAGTTAAAAATGGGCACTTAGTCTGATGCCCATCGTAAGTTGCTTGATTTTCCTGTGTGCTTGGAAGAGTCATGTTTCGCTTGGTAGAAGCTCAGGTCCTGCTGACTGTAGTTACATTTGTGATTGCTTTACACATCTGCACATGAGGCCTTGTGGTGCTGAGCCAGGAAACCAGAAAATGAAGAACCTAGAATTAGGAACCACTTGAGATAAATTTGGTTTGTGTGGCTTCATTAGTCCTTCATAATACTGCTGGGCAGAAGCAGGAATACAGTCCAATCTCCAGGATAGCAGTCTGGCTGCCTTGATCATTAGTCCCTCCTCTCTTTCTAAAACCCTGCCTGAAGGTATTTTCATTCAAGCACAAACAGCTTGGTTATTGTCACTTATTTTATTACAGCTTGCTGGCTGAGCCACAGTAATTGATCGTAGTCTCTTGCTAAGGTCAAGTTAAAGCCATAATTTACAGTAATGTAGCTGGGGCTGAAGTCAGGATTGAGTGGGTCCAAGGAAGGAGTAAGGGACAACAGCAGGTAGGTGGATATATGTCTGCTATGTGACTTCTTTTTAATACATCTCATATTCAGCTGTGCCCTCTGTGTCTCCAAAGGTTAAATTTTATTAGCATTTATCATCCAAATTATATTTTATCAGCATTTTTAAATAGTCCTTGAATAAACAACCTGGAATAACTGATGTCTTTAAAATAGCTTACTAAAAGGTTGGGGTTTTTGTCTCCCCCCGCCCCTTCATCTTTGTGCAGACTATACTCCGTCCGCTTCAAGCTTTATGCTCTTTCCAGCTTCAGCATGGTGCCCAGATCCATCACAGCAAGGAGCATCTTCTCAAAAATGGCTTATATGACAAGCCAATGCCAAAGAACAAGCGCAAACTCAGAAGAATGGAGCTTTTGGTGAATAATGTTAAAATATAATAAAACTGTACTGACAGTACAGTGGGATTTATCTGCAGCTAGCAGATGGATATGAATCTGGATTTGAACCAAACAGTTGACTGTACTGTAATAAAACAACTTTTAGGCCCTTCATAGGCAACAGTTTATCTACCAATGTGACAAACAGTAATGGACAAGCTTTTTCATTTTTGCATTAGGCCAGGTGCCTTTGTTCAGATGATAGAAGATCATTCTCATTTTCTATAGAAAAGAAGAAAAAAACTCTGAGCATAATTTAGAGTTATGTTATCTCTTGGGTGACAACTATGATCCTCAATATGACTGGATAAATTTACTTTGGAGAAGCTTTTATCAGTGCAAAAAGACAAGGAATTTGAATGCAATGGAACGGTAAGGCTTCAGCATTTAGAAGTATATTGAATTTCTGCTGAGTATTTTAACTTCAGTATCTAATTACATTAGATTTTGAAACTGTAATTCCTTATATTACTTTGTTCAGATGAACATAAGGCATGCTATTTGTATAGTTCTATAGTTCTTTTTAACTTGGAGATTTTTATTTCTTATATTATTAGAATTCCTTTTTGTAAATTTATATGTATTTTACAATGCACTTGAGTTTAGTTTGTCTCTCAGACTTAATTTTTAAATTAAGTTTGAATATGTTTTTACAAGAACCTGAACACTTCTGACTAAAAAAAAAAAAAAAAAAAAAAAAAAAAGGTTTTTTGGAATTATAACTCAGGCGTTTCACTTTTACTTGAGCAAAATCAATTCTTCCACAGAAGGGGACATTTTATGGATATGGATATGGATATGTCATAGCCATACCCTGGCATACCGTGGTTATGATACTAAAGAAATGAAACAATCCCAGTGTAAACAGCTTGGTAAGAAGTATGATGCAATGAAGAATGATTATATCTGGATACAACCCACTAACATGATTACATGTGTTCCTTTATTAGTTCTTCTCTTCTAACAGTGATATAACTGTACCTCTTTCTAATGTGAATTGTTAGAAGCAGAAGAATTGGGTGTTTTTACAAGCTTTGTGAAGTAATAGTTTATGATCTGGAGGAAGAGAAAAAAAAGTGAAATAAAGGTTTTGATGTCCTTTTCTTTATGTTCATAAATGCTTCCTTCATGACACAGATTAAAATGCTTAATGTTTGTCTTTACTATCAGTTCCACTCTAGGTAACAACATGGAGCTAACTGGGTACTAATTAGTCTTAGAAGAAGGTATTTTGTCTTTAATTTATGAGCTGCAAGGCAAGAAACTACAGAAGTGCAGGGTGTAAATACAGCTAACCAATATATTAACTGAAAGCACTTCTGCAATTAACAAGAGAGGTCAAAATTAGGTCAGAGATTAGCTAAGAAGTTTTAGTTAACCCTGAGCTAATAGTGACCTTCTGTTTAGGCATGGATTAACAATTTAATTTGTCTGGCTATGTTAGCAAAGTTTATGTAACCTTTTTCTCTTCTACCAGTCTAGATAAATCCTGTATCTGTCACTAAATTCAGCATATCTGAATTAGTCTTGACAAATCTGAAGCAAAACAGTCTCATATGATTAATGATAGTGTAGATGCACTTTTGTTCATGTTGGAACAGAGAAAGGGTATGTTTATTCCTGTAGCAAAGCCCAGCGCAGCAATCTCCGGACTAGCTGGGAGTCTGAAGTTGCAGTCTTGTGCAGCCTTGTGTGTGGTGCTGCCTCCGGTTCTGGGGTTGGCATGGCTCGTGCTGGGCTGGGAATCTGTGCTGTGGGACATGGTCCAAGCGTTCCTTAAGGAAACAAGGGTATCAGGCTGTAATGTCAATGCAGTATTTACATATCTGGATGATGTTCACATTTAATGTTGCATATGCTAATTTAGTTTACCTCATTTTAGATTCATCTAGAGCAGTAGTGTATCTTTCAACCTATATTGTGAAGATTAGTTTCCTAGACAGAAGACTAAATGTGTCTTTTCATAGACTGTGAGTTTATATTATGGAGAACAGAAAGAAATTTGTACTACAGCCTGAGATTCACACACATTTGCAAAATTACTTAGAATTACAGGATCAGATAAATAGTTGTCTTAATTTAGTTATAATCCTACATTAAATACTCTTGTGTGTGCAATCTGTGCAGAGTTTTCATGTTTTTCAGCAAAGGACAAATTCCACACAGCTTACAATAAGCACTTTTTTAGTTTTGTTGATTCCTCTTGTTCTTCTAATTTTGCTCCTGTGGTTAACAGGATTTGTAAGATCCAATGCTGTATGCGTGGAAGCCATTAATTGCTGATTTCCTGTGTTGTACAATACTAGATCAATCACTTTGCATCAGCTGCTGAAGAAATGAAAAACAATTCATTGCAAACCTCCAGGCATTTTTGAGTTTTTTGTATGTCCCATCTCAGCTATAATATAGTATTTAGATGCAACACAGCAGTCACATGAAGTTCAATTTCAGATTTGTTCAAAGCTATTAAATACAAAATACTTTCTTTGGTGGAACTTGCACGGCTTTAAAAATAGACAAAGTATAAGAGGAATAGTTTAGAAAGTTTGTTTTCAGGTTTTTTGGATTCGGAATTTACCTCTAATACATTACCACAAAGAAGTGGGTTCTCTGAGGTCTAAACTCTTTTGACGGAAGTTGTGGGTGAGAAAGTAGCACTCTTTGCAAGCAATTTAATTAGAATGAGTTTAATTTGCAGTTCTATTTTTTGGTGTAGTGGTCAATCTGCTTAATTTTTCACGTACCAAAAGATTAATGAGTGAAACCCACCAGTCTAACAAGATATTGATTAAAAAGAAAGGAATGTGTTTACTTCTAATGTTTGGTCCTTTGTCCTTGTCCACTTTGTACTTCCAAATACTGCTACCAAAATGAAATCTGCCTTCCATGTGCCACTATACCATGCTTTGGGGAAATGGTGACATAGATACTAGGCTTTTGAACACATGTGAAAATTTTATAAAGGTGGGCATTGTTAAGTTTCTATATTTTCATAATCTGTAAGACAAAGTTTATAAAAAAACAAAGCTAGAGATCTTTCAAAATAAGAACACACACACACACACCACCCTTTTGTTTAGAAAACTGTCAAATTAAAAGTGAAGAGACACTCAGGAAAAACATAAGTTTATTTTTCTTCAAGATTTTACTTTCATTGCCTCATAACTCTGTTGGACTTCCAGCTGGAAGATGCTGTTACCGTACCACCAATAAATTACTCTTTTATTATTTTTTCTTGAAATAAAAAGAAAAATTTTCAACTGACTTCAAAAAGAGCAAAAATTATTTTAAGACCAAGGGTTTTCTTCTCAACTGTTACATTAGATAAAAAATTGCTTATGCTTCATTATTTTCTACAACTTCCTGGCTTGTTTTGAAATTTAATTAAAAACTGAACTTTTAAAAAGGGATAGTGGTTCATGCTTTTATCCTGAGGTTTGTGTTTATTATGCCTACGTACATGAATGCACATGAATTATATATTTGTTTCTGCTTCGAAGCAATAAAAGGTATAATTTACTGTGATTATGTGCCACAGAATCTCTACAGAACTGAATTTGTTTGCAGGTACTGGTATCACAAAGAGGTAAATCTAGTCCTTTTTTGTGCCTTTTTAACACCAATCAGTCAGTTAGAGATGTGTTTTATCCTATGCCATTTGAAGAAGAAGGTTCCCTTATGATCTGTTGAAACCTGCATGAAGATTAAATTGCTGTGGCAATTTCTCAGGCATTTCAGTTTCACAGCTCTCTTAATGCTTTCTGCAGTAGTGTCTCACTCCCATTTGCTACCCCACAAACATACACATCTTCCTACACTCTAGAATCCCCCAATCTCCAGCTCATGGCCTACATTCAGATCAGTAATGATCTTAATGTCATGTATCTCACCCATATTTTTTCCCTCCCCAGATTGTTGTAGTCAAGTTAAAAAAAAAACCCTGGTTCTGTTCTCATGCAGCCATTCCTCATCTCCCTGTTACAAAACCTGCACTTTAGGGACTTCTGTACACCCTTAGTTACCAGACTTGTTCCTTGTGTCCCATTCCACAAACCCTCCAAGGCCCCAGCACTTCATGTCCTGAGAGCTGCTGCCTTTGTAGTGGGGGACATATGACAGGGGGAAGTAAAGAGCGTAGAAGGAAAGAAAGGTCTGTGTTTCAAGAAGTTGAATAAGAGACTTAAATAAATTTTGCTTCTCTTGCTAAGGCATGGTTTCTATAAAGCTTGACACATCACTGTGGCTTGGTGTTCTCTTAATACCATGATTGTCCTAACAGTTTGATTTGTTTGTGGAGTATATCCTAGGACAGCTGCTTTGTTTTACTGGTTTAAGATTCACTAAGTATTTCTTTGGATCCCTTTGTATTTCCTAAAAGATGCTAACTAGTTTTCTGTGTGAGGAGATGCTTCTATCACTAAGCAACAGAAAAATTGCTATACCTACGGCCCGCCATGCTTGCAGCACAATTACAGCTTAAGTCGATAGATAGACACCACTTGATCTGGTTGGACCGTGCATACTGCACATCTTCTGTCATGGATGTAAAAGGCAGCAGATGCTCAGCTGGAAATAGCTTTGAACTGTTCTCTTTGCCCATGTAAGTAATAATTAAAAACCTCGGTAGCTGTGACAGACCATATGCTATGCTGTGGCCTACTGTGTCTGTAAGGACAGGTGACATATTTTAGCTTTTATAGCTGAACTGAAACTGGGACTTTATCTAGCATATGAAAGATTCTTTTGGTCTTGAATACTAGGATTTACTCTCAAAAAAGAGGTGTATCAAAGAGTGTACAGAAAAGATTTAAAGTGCATTAAAACATACCTACTACTCTGTGTTAGTGAAACAGAGCAACATCGAATGTTTGGCAAATGAGTAATACATGAACCATTTGCATGTATATATGCCTGTAAATATAGATCATGTGTTAACAAAATACATAAGTTATTATTTAAAACCATATTTTAAGTAGTTTTTAAAAGTAAAATTAAATTTCTATGAAAGAAAAATGTCAGTGGTTCTAGTTCCTTGTTTTCCTTTTGTTGCCAAAAGGTTCATATATATATAACAGATGTGTAAATAAAAGTAATAGTAAATTTCTAGTGTTTTGTTTGGGGTTTTTGTCGTTTTTTTGTTTGCTTGATTGTTTTGTTGGGGGTTTTGTTTTGTTTTGTTTTTTTATATATATGCTTTTTAAATGAATATGTTGAGAAATGGGTTGTAGACTGGTTGTGATTAAGCATTTGCAAATTTGAAGTAATTTACATTATATTTGAAGCTTTCCCATACTTACTAGCAGAAAGTAATGAGGAAAAAGTGATACTGTAGTACGTTAATTTATCAACTCACAGTACTTCATTATACTTGAAGTAGTCCTCTAAGGATTTTAACTTTGCACAAAATCAAGGTCCCTATTATTTTCAGGGATTAGATAGGATGTCTTGAGTCAGTGCTAGATGTGCTGCTGGATGCCAAATGTGGAGTCAGTATTGTGATGAATACTAAGTTTAGACAAAAACATAATTTATGTAATTTTCCCTAGAAGGCTTATGTGGATTTTCTTTTTCACTGAGAGTGTCTGTGAAGTAGTGTCTATGTTTCTTCCCATTTGATTGTAATAGTTATTCAGAAATGGAATCTTGCTGGTCATTCTATTTCATTCTGGATTGTATCAATTATGGATTTGTTAATGGAACGTGCTGGTAGTCAGTTATTGGCCAAAAAAAGATTAAACACGATTTGTAAGCTTTGCCTTATTCAAAGACATTTTCTTTCTCTTTTTCTTTGAACAGGCATTTGTAGTAGACAAAATATGTACTTCAGATGATCTTGAAACAGTTGTGAGATTCTTGTTTGGCTTGGGTTTGTTCACCTGTCTCCCCCCAGACCGACAGCAGTTCTCCCCTCTGGGGTTCGTGCTGCTGGTCTCCCTGTAATCAGCAACAGTTTCACATTCTTTAGCTGTGCAGGCTGAACTTAGACCTCTGCCTTCAAAACTAAATCATCCCTTCCTCTCTGTTCAGACAGCAGTCATGTTTCCTTTTTGACCCACTTGTCACTGTGGAGTTGCAAGTGATATTTTGCAGACCTCTTCTGGCA